AGAATGGTCAGGTCACAAGCCAGAGTCAGTGTTGGCGGGAGCAGATCAGGCAGAATGAGAGGGCAGAGGCAGAGTCCAAGAAACAAGCTGGGGTCAATCACAGGTAATCACTCACAGGAACAGGATCAGGCACAGGAATACAGGAGTGGGAGCTGCAGATCAGACAGCACAGGCTAATAGTGCTGCTGGGTTTAAATAGTCTGATTGGCGTCAACATTAGCAACGGGCTGTCGTGTGTGTGCGTATGCGTGAACGCAAATGCACACGACTATGTGCAGCAGGACGGGCCCTCGCATATCTGCGCCTGTGCCGCTGTGCACTATGGCGAGCATCTTCCTGACAGTAGTAGTTATGAGGGAACAGGATCCAAGGGGCAGGTGGTGAAACGGGCTTCTGAGAAAACTTTAGTGACCTCTTCAGTAGTAGCAAGGTCAAAAGAGGAAAGTGTTGAGGTTGGTTTAGTATAAGGTATGCTAAGTGGGATGGATGTCTGTGTAGTGGAGATGCCCCTACGAATTGCGTCAATCTTGTTTTTGAAATGATTGGCAATCTTGTAAGCAGTGAGTGAGTTACTGGGTGGAGGTGGAGAAAGTAGAGAGTTAAAATTAGAGAAGAGACGATGAGGACTGGATGACAAGGTATTAATAAGAGTGACAAAGTAGGCTTGTTTGGCAGCATGGAGGGAGGAATTGTATTTTAAGAATGCAGATTTATATCGGGTAAATGCTTGCTGGGATTTGGTTTTATGCCACAGTCGCTCCAGTGCATGACTATATCTCTTAAGATTTCTGGTGTTCTCAGCCTGCCATGGTTGTAATGGTCGGGGCCTGATGCTTCGTGTAGTTTGTTACAATACAGATGTTATAAAATGAAAGGGTATGCTGTGACTGTCGACTCTCTTTAGTTTAGTAATGCTTGACAGCACATCAACATTTGTAGAAATTCTGCTGTTGATTTATGAGAGTTTCATTTGTGCATGGAAGGTGAGCGAGCTCCTAGACTAGCCATGAACAACAACTTTTCATTAGTGTGTTTTGTGGTTGGCCTAGCTGAACAGCCAACTTCCATCTCCATTGTTCAGTATACAGACAGGCTTATCACTTCCTACATAAATACTTTAAGCTGACTACCAGGTAATCAAAGCACTTTACACAACAGTAGAGTCATTGCTGCTAGAGATCCCTATAATTAACAGATGACAGTGCGCGTAGTATTCAATTACCACATGAAATTTCTGCAGAGACTATGGCATTTTGTAGTAGTCTTTCAGCCCCCATGATGATAAAACCATATGCTACTGAAGGATGATGCCAAGACTAGGTATTAAAGATTAAACATATGCAATCTGTCAAGAGAAGAGCGCATAGTAGATTTGCCTCAATATAGCCATCTTCAGTTATTGACACCAAGGTTTAAGGCTCCATTCACAGTGCAGTGTTTTGAATTGCTGGTAGAATCGCTGCAATTCTGCCTGCAATTTTAAAATGCTCTGCTAAAATAACAAATTGCGGAACCCTGTGTTCAGGTGCCATTCATTTTAATGGCACCTGAAAACACGGTGTGGTTTTGCTGAGATTGTCGCGCAATAAATCACACTGCAATCATGGCAAACCGCACCATGCAGAACGTTTTTAAAAACTTCAGGAACTTCTTTTAGGCGATACAATTTATCATGCAACAACTGTGGCAGATCTGCACCAAATTTTCAAGTGCCATTAAAATGAATAGCATCTGAATACGCAGTTCCATGATTTGTTGTTTTAGAAGAGTGTTTTGAAATGTCCATCCAAAACGCTCTAGTGTGAATGGAGCCTCAAGGCAGCCTTAGAGTGCCCACAGAAATAACATGATAATTGACCAATGCAGCTCAGGTCAGACCAGAAAAACAATACTGAGACCCGGTTCACACCAAATGCGACATTGAAATCGAGCTACTTCACTTGAAGTAGAGCAATTTCAAAGTCATGGACCCAGTGTGATTTCATATGCAGCCTGCTTGACATCTGTGCGACTTCATGCTCAAATGTCAATGCAAGTCACACCTGAAATAGACAAACTATTTGAACTGTTCCATTGCTGACAATAGGGTGCAACTTGTCATGCGATTTGGAACTGTCAAATCACATGACAAGTCTGTTTGAGGAAACTGCACCCTTGGAATGTCTTTCTGCCCTCTCCAATCTGAACGTGCATGTTTTTCAGAAACACTATTTTGGCTGTCTGTTCATGTCTGTAGGTCTGATTAGAGTGTAATGTCTGTGGGTAGCTTTAGACACAAAAGTGTAGAGACTAAAAATATACAAAGGAAGGTCACTAAGGTCATTGGTTCGAATCTCAACCATGACACTACCTGCCTGGAGTTTGCATGTTCTCTCTGTGCCTGCGTGGGGTTCCTCCGGGTACTCCGGTTTCCTTCCACACTCCAAAGACATGCTGGTAGGTTAACTGGAACACTTACCAGCTAGACTGCAACCAAGCCAAACTGACCCTGTCTTAACAGATTGTGTTAGGGTTTAGTTGCACACATTTGCAAATATATGTGAAAGCCACAGTGCCTCGCCAAGGCTCCTCTGTATACTGTGGTCCTAGCTCTTTAGCTATGAGAGTCTCTAATTTGGAGCATACATAGCAGTGGCAAAATTAAGGGCAGACTTACCTAGAGGTAGTCCACTCCTCCTTAAAAGTACAGGGACACACTCAACACCCAGTAAAAGCACAATGGCAGCTGAAGGTATCCAGTATGTCCACATGTCAAATTCAATGGTAGGTTAATTGGCTTCTGCCTAAATTGGCCCTAGTATATGTATGTATGAATGTGAATTAGGGACCCTAGATTGTAAGCTCCTTGAGGGCAGGGAATGATGTGAATGTACAATATATATGTAAAGCGCTGTGTAAATAGACGGCACTATAAGTTCCTGTAAAAACAAAAAGTAAATAAAGTAGGCTGCAACATCAAACTTTATTCTATACGCAAGGCAACCTCGGGTCACCATAGAGATGCATGCTAGCTTTTACTGTTTTAGGCAGAGATGGCTTGTACGGCTATTCAGATATCCCATACCTAGAATGTTAAGTGTACATTTAATGACTGTATCTGCTGGTGGCAAGCTGTGATCATTTCATAGGCAGGTGCATTTTATTCTTGTCTAATAGATTATCTGAGATATAAATATCCCAATTGTTGCTGCTGGTATTTCAGTTCAATTGTTTGATAATCTTATTTCAGTAACCAGTCTATGGAAACCAAACTGTGTTTGGATATTTTTAAGGTTGGCTTGAAAATAAAACAATTGGGGTGGAACATTTTTTGATTGTTTTCAACAGTTGTGTAGCATGCGAGCATGCGTGCTAAAACCAGCCAATTTTTTCAAGGCTTTCATTGCATGAAGATAAAAATCAACTAAATATAATGTGAAAATGAACCCAGTTTCATCATTTGAAGCTAATTTGGAAAAAAAAAAAAAGCAAACGTGTGTGGCACTTTAAAAGAAAATTGCCTAAAATACAATGAAAACTTCTGATCAAGTCAAATACTGATGTGCATGGTCAGCATAAAGGCCCCCATATATATAAGAATGTTATTAGATGTGCAAGGTGCTAACCAACCTCCAGGCTGGTGTGTGATATTTCATGTACGGTCTATGAAGAGGGGCTGGGAAGGTGAATTGGAGATACTTCCAGTTTCAGCTCAAAAAGGTTAAAATAAAAGAAATAGGACAAGATTTTACAATATGTGTAATTTCTTCTACCCCTCAAAGCCCTGAGTGGGGAGTAACCTGCAGGTATTTAAGTCTCTCCTGAGCTGGCAGAAAATAATTGGATTGGAAGGTTGTCATCTAAGGTCCATGGATCCTTTAAAGTGGAGCTCAAATCTCCCCCCCACAAACGTGACAGTCAGCAACTACAAATGCTGTGGCTGTTGACTTTTAATAGAATGACACTTACCTGTCCAAGGATCCAGCGATGTACTCACCCAAATCGATTCTTCATTCGGCTTTGGGTGCAGGAGCCGTCATGTTGGGTAATAGAAACCTGCAGTGAACCCTTCCGGGCTTCACAGCTGGTTTCCTACTGTGTATGCACAAGCTGCGTGTCACTGTGTGACTAGTCTCGCAGTCTTCTGGGACCTGTGTGTGTCCCAGAAGGCTGCAGGGGGAAGGAGGAAGGGCTGAAAAATCGTCTTGGCGATCTTACACGGAAATGGGGAGCAAGTTCCTGTCAAATCCAAGTATCTGCTCCCCCCAAAAAAATGCCAAATGTGGTAGTGGAGGACAAACAAGTGGAACTTTACCTTTTGGGTGAAGTTCTGCTTTAAAGAATTACACCTCCTGTCAGGCTTTCCTTCTATCCAGGGCTCTTTTGAAGAGATTTACTCTCACATCCTGTCCTGCTGACTACTGTTTTACCAGGTAGGAAGTAGGGTGAAATCTGTAAAAAGGACACAGATAGAAATAAAACGTTGACAGGGGTTCTAGCCTCCCTCTGCTCTTTAGGAATACTCATGAACAGGCAGTCATCTCAGTTCTGAAATCTACCAGATGTTTGAGAGAGTTCAATGTATCACTAATCCCTGCGGTCATCCCATCAATTTAGGCAAAAAATATGCAGTTAAAGCACAACTCCATAAAATTTTTTTCCATGCAGTGGGGCTTTGTTGATCATGTTGTCCAGGGGTGCACAGAAAGGCTATACTTACCCGACCTTTCGATCTTCTGGAAAACAGTGCTCTTCCACGTCCACCTGTGGACTATTCCTGCTGTCCTCATGTCCAGAGCCGGTCTATGGGCATGATGGTGTCAAGAACAGTCAGTGCAAAAGACCGCTAGTGTGTGTGGGGGGGGGGAAGTCAGGGACTGGTCTTGCACTTGGAGGATTGGCGGATGAGGTAAGTATATCTCCACTTGCCTCACCCCTAGACAAAAATGAGCAGTTAACCCCACTGCATGGAATTATTTTCCCCATGGAATTCTTCTTTAAGGGGTCTTTTCCAAAGGAAATGCACAGCTGCACCAGATTCTGAGTGCTCTGGTGTTAGTAAATCCCCCCCCAATATGTTTCTTGCTGCCTTGAGGATGGTGATAACCAATCATATGTTTATTGCTGCCGTGAGGATGGTGATAACCAATCATATGTTTCTTGCTGCCGTGAGGATGGTGATAACCAATCACTGTCTTCACATGGTAAATTTTGCTTTTTTGCTTATATTGGCTGTTAAATCTAAGGAAAAGGTATGGTCACAATTAGGTTTAGGTTCTTAGCAAGGACTCTTACAGGGGTTTGAGTTTTGACTTGGCTTGGGTTAGGACTAGGTGACATATGGATGTTGTATGGTAGGAATCAGTATATCGCATACACATCTGACGTTTTAGATAAATAGATAAATTATTCTGTCCATTACTGAATTATTCCGTTTTATTGAGTGCTTATTTAATTCAATTCAGTCCAGTGCAATGCTGTATCCATAATAGGTAGTTTGACTGAAAAAAGATAAAAGTCCATCCAGTTCAACCATTAAAAAAAAAAAAGTTATAATTCTATACCCACAGTTGATCCAGAGGAAGGCAAAAAAAACCCAGCAAAGCATGAACCAATTTGCTCCTGTTGGGGAAAAAATTCCTTTCTGATCCCCCAAGAGGCAATCAGATATTCCCTGGATCAACTTTACCTATAAATGTTAGCAACCAGTTATATTCTGTGTATCCAAGAAATAATCCAGGCCTTTTTTAAAGCAATACACTGAGCTGGCCAGAACCAACTCTTGAGGGAGTCTATTCCACATTTTCACAGCTCTCACTGTGAAGAAACCTTTCCGTGTTTGGATATTAAATTTCTTTTCCTCCTGATGTAAAATGTGCCCCCATGTCCTCTGTGATGACCTCAGGGTGAATAGCTCTACACCAAGTTCACTATATGAACCACTGATGTATTTATACATGTTGATCATTTTACCCCTTAATCTCCTCTTCTCAAGAGAGAATAAATTCAGTTCCTCTAATCTTTCCTCATAGCTGAGCTCCTCCATGCCTCTTATCAGTTTGGTTGCCCTTTTCTGTACTTTCTCCAGTTCTCCAATGTTCTTTTTGTGAATTGGTGCCCAAAACTGAACTGCATATTCCAGATGAGGTCTTACTAATGATTTGTACATGGGTACTATGATATCTCTCTCTCTGGAGTCTATACCTCTTTTAATACAAGAGAGGATTTTGCTCACTTTAGAAACTGCAGCTTGTTATTGTATGCCATTATTAAGCTTGTGATCTACCAGAACCCCCAGATCCTTCACCATTGATTCCACCCAGTTGTACTCCCCCTAGTATGTATGATGCATGCATATTCTTAGCCCCCAAGTGCAGAACCTTACATTCATCAACATGAAACCTCATTTGCCACATAGTTGCCCAATTAAACAGTGCATTGAGGTTGGCTTGTAAATTGAAGACATCCTGTAAGGACGTTATTCCACTGCACAGCTTGGTGTCATCTGCAAAGACTGAAATTGTATTTATAATCCCAGACCCTATATTGTTTATAAATATATTAAAAAGTAAGGGTCCCAACACTGAACCTTGGGGTACACCACTGACAACCCTAGACCATTCAGAGTATGACTCATTAACCACTACTCTTTGAATACAATCTTTTAGCCAGTTTTCTATCTATTTACATACAGATTTTTCCAAGCCCATAGACTTTACCTTACACATTAGCCGTTTGTAGGGAACTGTGTCAAACGCTTTTGCAAAATCCAAGTATACCACGTCCACCGCCACCCCTCTGTCCAAGGTTTTGCTCACCCCCTCATAAAAAGAAATCAGATTTGTTTGACAACTTCTGTCTTTCATGAATCCATGCTGTCGGTTGCTTAAAATATTTTTTTCCAGCAAGAACTCATCTATGTGGTCTTTTATTAACCTCCCTGGTGGTATTCCCGAGTGTAGCTCGGGGTAAAGTTTCAGTACCAAAAGCGGTAACCCCGAGCTATACTCGGGCTTACCATGCAGTGCTGCTCCGGCATCTGTTCTTCACTTACCTTGTCCTGCGCTCCCACGATGTCCCTCCTGCAGTGTTCCCGGCAATGTAATCTGGCGGATGCCGGCATCTGTCATCTGGGTTCCGTCCTCTGCGAGCGTTGGGACGTACAGGGGACGGAACGGTGGGAAATTTGAAAATGACAAAAAGTGACATTCACTAAATACACTAAAATCACATAGAAAAAACATTACTGTATCAAACCATTTCACATACATTTTGTCCCTACAGCTTTGTCCTGTGCCCTGCCTGCATTTTTACAGTTCTTTCTGCCTGGAAACTTAGAAACGTCCATGGCGTCCAAAAAGTGTCCCTTTAGGTCAAAATCGGTTTTAGACCAGCTAGAGAACAGCGATAGTAAATTAGAACCACTTGCAGAATTGAGTGATAATGATTCGTGGGGAAATTCGTCATCAGACACTGAAAACGATTTTGCGACTTTGCGCAGTGATGTGCGAACTTGGAGCTATATTTAAAATGTCAGTGTTTTTGGTTTGATTATATTATTGAATTACATTTTTTATTATATTATTATTTTTTATGATTATTTATTAAATTATAATTTATGATTTCGTGTTTCAAATTTTATCATACCCAGGATGTTTACTAGACTCTTGTTTGGACAGATTTCAGTGAGTTATTCCTAAAAATTACAGGCCTACTATAAAAAAAAATACATATTTCCGTGCAAAAAAGTGTACCGCTTTGAGCACAGAAATATGGACATAATCAGACCGCTAGGGAGGTTAAACTCTCCAATATCTTCCCAACTATAGAAGTTAAACTAACAGGTCTATAATTACTTGGTAAAGATTTTGACCCCTTTTTAAATATGGGCACCATATTGGCCTTCTGCCAATCTAGTGGTACTATTCCAGTCATTAAAGAGCCCCTAAAAATTAGAAACAATGGCTTTGAAATGACAGAGCGCAATTCTTTAAGGACCCGTGGGTCTATAATAAAAAATTAAAATTCACCTCGTACTTGCTTTACTACAATACGGTATTTTCTGATTGGTTGCTAGACTGCTCTTGGCACTTTAAATGTTGCTCTGAGCTCTGTTTATTAAATAGGCCATTATACCCTTTTGTCCTTCATAAGCCTAAAACAGAGACATAATATTGGACATGGGAGTTGGATATGGAAAAATGTATAGATTGAATAGGCTTTAGCCCTCCAATAGTGGTCTGTCACGGTAGAAAGAACAGCTGAGTATTCTGGGATTATACATCTGTCAGCGAGAGCGAAATGTCATCATGTGACTTGACGCATGCAGCATGGTGTCTTATTGCTGCTCACTTTTATTTAAGGGACCAAATAAAAAGTCTTCTGGTGTTGACTCAGTACTGTGTGCCTGATTACAAATATAAAGAAACTCCTCACCAAAAAAATAAAGAACTTGCTAACTCAAATGTAAGTAGGGATATAGGTTTTCTCTGGTTCAAATTCACAGGTGGGACATGCTGAGCAGAAAATGAGACCATAGAGAAAACAAACATTTAATACACAAATACCTAAAAGTTAAACTTCAGACAGATAAAAAGGACACAAACTAATAATGCTCTGTATTCAGTTGTACACAGTATAAATATCTGGCACAAGCTTCTTGCTACCCCCTGCCCTTTACAACAGAGCTCAGACCGAAAAAGAGAAAAGCAGCACAAGGAGCCAAACGGGTGTGCAGCAGTACCCATGTGCTAAGAAGGAGTATGGATGCTGATAGAAGGGGAGAGCAGAGTGACAGAGCGATGAGTTCATCAGTGTGCTCCTTTACCTTCACTGTTTATAAACTAAATATTGTATAATGAATGTGACAAGCATTACTCACTCACATGTCATCCCTGTCAGATGATGATGACATTGGAACAAGTAATGCATGTCACACTCATTTTGCATTATTTATTTTATTTCTCTCATTTTGTCAGTCACTATTCAGTTGCAAGCTGCGGATAGGGACAAGACCTAATTGTAGTACTCAACCTCTTCACGCCAAGCGTACGCAAATATGCGGCGTCTCAGCGGCTGGGCCTTGACGCTGAGTGGCCGCATATTTGCGTACCATTTGTAAGCAAACGTGCTGAGAGTGCCCACCCTGAGCGCTCCCAGCACATGTTTTGGCGATCCACGGAAAGGCCCCAATCGCTCCTTGCGATTTGGATCTTTCTTATCATGTGACTGCCGTGACAGCCAATCACAGCGGTCACATGACTCTAAACCCTGCACCGCCTCCCAGCACCAGAAACCCCTTCCAGGGCTGTGAGGCACCGATGCAAAGGAATTAAAGGAGAAGTATAGCTTCTGCACTCCTGTGGGATTACAGGAGTGCAGTTAGTTCTGCACTCCTGTGACCTGTTTTCAGCCACAGACCTGGTCCAGGCTCTGAAAAGATACTGACCATATGGTCGGGATCCACCCAAAACCCTGTACTGCCACCTGGTTCAGCCTGTCAGCAATCTGCTGAGAGCCTGAGACAACCCCTCATGCCCCCTCCACTGCACAGCGCTCCAGTGTGTATTTTAGGGGCAGAGAGTCACAGCTCTGCTCAGATCAGAGGGGAGAACTGAGTGATCAACAGTGTTTGCTCAGTTCTCACTGCATAGCTGGTGGGGGACAGATGCACCATCAGATTAATGCTGCATCCACCTAGGTGAGAATAAATATTTTTGTTTTCAAAGTCCATACTTCTAATTTAACTGCAGTAGAAAACCATGAAATGGCCAACCAAAGTATGCTGCGTGGCAGCGCTGTGTAAATCTGGATGAACAGAAAAAAAATGATTTGGCGGGTAAAACAGCTCTTATATACTATATGTATTACATCTGAGTAATTAGCCATTTGCCTTTAGTTCAGCTTTAAACACATAGGAGCATCTTGCAACATTTTTTATCACAGTTTGTATTTTTTTCAATCTTCTGTGGTTAAATGTTAAATGTTTTCTTAAATTAGGATGCCTGAATTAACCTCCAGTAGTGGCATTATAAAGACAATGTGTTTTCAGCAGCTATGTAGTTTGTATTTGCTGTTGTGGTAACAGAACATGGGGATTAATCTTCCTTCTGGCATATTTTTTTCCAGCTGCTCAGAATGAAGAGCGTTTGTGCGCCTACAAAGATCCCAACCAGCAGGACCAGGGAGTCAGCGAAAGTCAGATATCCCCTGAGAATGGCACTGTGGAGTGTTCCAAGGGAAGCACCTGCTTTGGCTTATGGGAAAAAACGAGAGATGGGGAAATTAATCTCGTCAAACAAGGCAAGTAAAAAATAATCTGGACGTAGATTTATGATCAATTGTGTTACTGTTTTTTGATATATTATTTTGCATTAAAATTTGAAGTGCACAAGTCATATGGTATTGAGCACATTTTTACAGGTGGTTACAGCCTTTGGCCTCTTGTACATAGTACAGATGTTTGCGCATCAGCGTTTCTGGACGTAATTTCAGAAGTATGTTTTGCTCATATTCACTTGTACAATACATTCCTATTCAAAATTAATTACCGTATTTGCCGGCGTATAAGACGACTTTTTGACCCTTGAAAATCTTCTCAAAAGTCGGGGGTCGTCTTATACGCCGGTACACATGTTAGGGGGGCTGCGGCATTAAGTACAGGGGTTTGCAGGGGCTGATGTCTCTTACCTGGATCCAGTCCCACGACGATCCGGTCCAGGAAGCGCGGCGTCTCCTTCAGTTCGGCCACTGGATGTTCGTGCGGCTGCTCGGCTCCGCCTCCTCACCGGTGATTGGCCGCCAGAACTGTAGCTCAGGAAAGGCACACAGGCGGCCAATCACCGGCGAGGGGGCGGAGCCGAGCGGCGGCCCCGCGAAAATTGAGTGCTGGAGCAGCAGGTAAGTGTGCTGTGTAGAGGTGCTGCTGCAACCACATATGCTGGCTGCAGCAGCACCATACGAGAACAGGGTCAGCAAGTCTCAGTGGGAGGAATAGTGCCCCATCATTGGTGTCACTGATACCAATGATGGAGCACTATTCCTCCCACTGACACCAACGATGGGGCACTATTCCCCCCACTGACACCAACGATGGGGCACTATTCCCCCCCCACTGACACCAATGATGGGGCACTATTCCACCCCTCACTGACACCAATGATGGGACACCATTCCTCCCACTGACATCAATGATGGGGCACTATTCCTCCCACTGACACCAATGATGGGGCACCATTCCTGCCACTGATACCAATGATGGGGCACCTATTCCTCCCACTGATACCAATGATGGGGCACTATTCCTGCCACTGATACCAATGATGGGGCACTATTCCTCCCACTGACACCAATGATGGAGCACTATTCCTCCACTGATACTAATGATAGGGCACTATTCCTGCCACTAATGCCAATGATGGGGCACTATTCCTGCCACTAATACCAATGATGGGGCACTATTCCTCCCACTGACATCAATGATGGGGCACTATTCCTCCCACTGACACCAATGATGGGGCACTATTCCTCCCACTGACATCAATTATGGGGCACTATTCCTCCCACTGACATCAATGATGGGGCACTATTCCTCCCACTGACACCAATGATGGGACACTATTCCTCCACTGATACCAATGATGGGGCACTATTCCTCCCACTGATACCAATGATGGGGCACTATTCCTCCCACTGACACCAATGATGGGGCACTATTCCTTCCACTGATACCAATGATGGGGGCACTATTCCTCCCCACTGACACCAATGATGGGGCACTATTCCTCCCACTGACACCAATGATGGGACACTATTCCTCCCACTGACACCAATGATGGGGCACTATTCCTCCCACTGACATCAATGATGGGGCACTATTCCTCCCACTGGTGTGCATTGGAAGAGGGGTAGTCTTATACGGCGAGTATAGCCCAAACACTACATTTTAGCAGGAAAAGTAGGGGGGTCGTCTTATACGCCCAGTCGTCTTATACGCCGGCAAATACGGTAGTTATGCTCATATGCGCGTATTTACTTATACCTGTGCAAAATACTGAGCAGGAACACAGATTTTTCTATTTTTTTTACTCAAGAATATGCAGAGCTTGGTTACGCTCCTGTGAGTACAGGCATATTGTAAACACTGGGCTTTATTTTAGATCAGTAAAAAATGTACTGTACTGAGCTTTTTCAAGCTGCAGTGCACAAGAGGCCTTTCTTTCCAAA